CTTTTACTCCCTACCCCCTTTCCAGCGTCGAGTTTCTCCGCTACTTTTCTCTTTTCAGCGTCGAGTTGCTCCGCTACTATCTCTTCCTTCTAGCGTTGTTCTTCCGCTACTCTCATCTCTTCAGCCTAAGTATCACCATTCAAGGCCTGACTCCCCCGGAGTCAATCAATTACCCCAACCCCCCCCCCCCCCCCCCTCCACAATCGACAACTTTCTTGTTTTCTAGCGTTGAGTTCCTCCGCATCTCCTATTCTATGTTCTAAAGCGTTGAGTTCCTCCGCATCTCCTTTCCTTCCTTCAAGCGTCGAATGCTTCCGCTCTTTCCTCCATCCCCTCCCACTCTCCCCCCACCTCCTCAATATCTTTTACTCCCTACCCCCTTTCCAGCGTCGAGTTTCTCCGCTTCTTTTCTTTTTCAGCGTCGAGTTGCTCCGCTACTATCACTTCCTTCTAGCGTTGTGTATTCCGCTACTCTTACCTTTCCAGTCTAAGCTTAAACTCCCCCGGAGTCCTGCCCAGCCCACCTCCTATAGGAGTCTCCACCACCCCCTCCCTCATTTAGACTCCTGTAGGAGCCTAATCTTTCAGCTCTAACTCCCACGGAGTTACCCCAAGAGCTAAGACTCCCACGGAGTCCCCCCTCCCCTCTCTCTCTCGCCCCGGCCAAATACGCATCTTTCCTACCTTCTAGCGTTGAGTTCCTCCGCATCTCCTGTCCTATATTCCCTAGCGTTGAGTTCCTCCGCATCTCTTTCTCTTCCTTCCAGCGTCGAATGCTTCCGCTCTTTCCTCTCCCCCCTCTTACAACTTCTCTCCTCTCCCCACCCTTAACTCCCAATCCCCCTTTTCAGCGTTGAGTTTCTCCGCTACTTTCTTTCTTCAGCGTTGAGTTTCTCCGCTACTTTACTATTTTCAGCATTGAGTTCCTCCGCTACTCTTTCTATATTTCAAAAACATCACTCACCAATCTGACTCCCAAGGAGTCTTCCCACGTTCTGACTCCCCCGGAGTCCTGCTCAGCCCACCACCTACAGGAGTCTCCACCTCTCCCTCCCTTCCCAGACTCCTGTAGTAGTCCAATCCTACAGCTCTAACTCCCACGGAGTTGACCCAGAGCTCTGATTCCCATAGGTTTCTTTTCTTTACCTTTCCAGCGTCGAGTTCCGCCGCATCTCATGCTCTCTTCTTCCCAGCGTTGAGTTCCTCCGCATCCTCTTTACTTCCTTCCAGCGTCGAATGCTTCCGCTCTTCTCTCCACCCCCTCTACAACCCCTCTCCCCTACCCACTACATTCCCCTTTCCCAGCGTTGAGTTCCTCCGCTACTTTTCTTCTTTCAGCGTTGAGTTACTCCGCTACTTTCCTATTTCTAGCACCAAATCCCTCTGCTACTCTCCTTTCTTCCGTTAGGCTCCCCAACCCTGCCTCCCCGAACCCAACTCCAACAGAGTCCCCAGCCTCTCCTAAGAATCAGTTTCAACTTTTCTCCTGCAGTAACCTATCTCACTTCAATTTACATTCAGCAGCCGGATATGGCACTGACCTCTCGCCTTTGGGGGGCACTTCAATACGCGGCTGCTGTCCCGAGATGAAAACCTTTGCCTTTTGGGGAGTTCTCGAGACCTACCTGACCTCGAATTCCCCTCTCGCCCTTCTAACGGGAGGGAGCCCCGGGCTCGAGGATATTACGAGCTCAGGGCTCTCTCCCGGGACAGCATGCCAAATACGCTTTATTGATTATCAGCTAAGTGTGAACTCTTGAAGTGTGGTTTATTCATAAACTAATTTCGAGAGGATCACGTGCTTATAATCAACACGGCTGGCTCCTTGTTAGCTCCGTAATCAGCCCTATTAGATGATTACGGAAGCATTATAAATAACCTGAGTTTTCCACTCCAGTTATCTTCGTCTTGAAGCTCCCCCCCTTCCACCCCTACATCCTCCCACTTTTTCTGATCGGGCGACACGGTGGCCCAGTGGCTAGCACTGTTGCCTCACAGCAAGAACACCGCTAGTCCAACCCATCGGGCTGGTTGGTGTTTCTGTGTGGAGTTTGCATGTTCTCCCCGTGTTCGCGTGGGTTTTCCCCGGGTTCTCCGGTTTCCTCCCACCGTCCAAAAACATAAACCATAGCAATCGACTAAAACAAATTATCACTCAATACAACCTGAGTTTGCACTTCTCACGGTGACAAGCAGGGGAGTTCTCGAGACCTACCTGACCTCGAATTCCCCTCTCGCCCTTCTAACGGGAGGGAGCCCCGGGCTCGAGGATATTACGAGCTCAGGGCTCTCTCCCGGGACAGCATGCCAAATACGCTTTATTGATTATCAGCTAAGTGTGAACTCTTGAAACGCTGACTTTTGAAATGCCACAGAATGACCTGAAACGTGAGCAGCTGAACCACAACTGCACAACCAGACTAAACGCAGCACAACCAAACCCTCGACAGCACAGAAGAGCACATGCATGAAGACAGACACACACTGGACGTCAGGCCGGGCCCAAAACAGCATGCAGTTAGTTGCATTACACATTTGATTGTTTACATTTGTTGCATTAAATTACAATTATTATGCAACAAACAAGTTGAATTGATACAACTTCAGGTCACCATGAAATCAGATTTCACTCTTTTAGTTGTTGTGCTGTCTTGCAGTATTTATGTTTGTTGGATTCCAATTATTTGGTAAAGGTATATATACTTTATATAAACGAAATAGGAAACTTTAAGATGTTTCTGCAGCATATGGATTATAATCAAGCATAATCCATGTGTATTTGATTGTGCTTGAGGTGGACCAGGCCTGCTATGTAAGCACACACACACAGAAGGTGTAAGCACACACACACAGAAGGTGCAAGCACACACACACACACACACATAGTGATGCAGACGACAGGTTGTGCTGTGACCACATGCGTTTATCTCCAGACACACTGATTCAGTCATACTGTGCTGACGGTCAACCTCACAAACATGACAGTTCTCGATGCAGCTCTACTTCCTCAAACTACATTATAAGCAGTGTGTAAAGTAAACTTACATGCACTTTAGATAAGTAACTAAATGTGCAAGGGAATTAAGGGAATAAAGGAAAAACTCACTAGAAATTATTGCGTTCAACTTCAATTATACAATAATAATAGTAGTTTTAGTTTTAAGTAATTTGAGTAATATTTTAATAGTAATATTAATAATAATATTTGACTAACATAACATTAACTGTTTATTTAAATGATATAAATGATTCAATTGACAATTTAAGATATATTTATTAAGGTAATATAGAAACTTCTACATAATGTTTAGGTAAAATACATGCATTATGACAATAACATCAAGGGCAAGAAACTTTAATTAAATTGCACTTTAATTGTGTACATAAAAAATTGTTTCACTGATATGAGCTTTTCCATTCATTCATTCATTTTCTTTGTGGCTTAGTTCAGGGGTGGCCAACCCTGTTCCTGGAGAGCCACCTTCCAGCAGATTTCAGTTGCTACCCATATCAAACACACCTGAATCAATTACTTCACACCACGTGATAATTACAGGCAGGTGTGTTTGATATGGGTTGCAACTGCAATCTGCAGGAAGGTTAGTCCCTGGCTTAGTCCCTTTATTAATCCGGGGTCACCACAGTGGAAGGAACCGCCAACTTTTCCAGCTTATGTTTTACGCAACGTCCTTCCATCCGCAGCCCATCTCTGGGGAAGATATGAGCTTTTTCATAAGAGTTTATATCTTACAGTTTTAATTTAATTTTACAATATCTGCAACAAGAAACATAATACATTTACATTTAACAATTTTGAGTTTATCTTACAATTTTGATATTTAACTTTACATTTTAAAAATGGTTGTAAATGTAAAGTACAGAGTGAAATCATCCTAATTTCCAAAGCTTATTTTGGATTAGGTTTTACAAGAAAATTCTATTGAATTCTTTCAACGTTAAAACTAGACATTTATTCAATATTATTTGCAGACAGTTTGTAAGCATTTGTAAAATTGGATTATCAAAGAAACTTTTAACATTACTGTGTCCTTAAAAAAATAAAAAATAAAATAAAGCAACATAAAATAAATTACTGGGTCTAAAATCTATCCGCATAGAAATCTGATACATGGAAATATTGCAAAATTGGCTGCTTGCTTCTATATTTTTCAATCACTTGAATAAGTACATATATATTACATATGATTATACACTCACCGGCCACTTTATAAGGTACTCCTTACTAGTACCAGGTTGGACCCACTTTTTTCAAAACTGCCTTAATCCTTTCTTCTTGTCTTCTTTTGGTGAGCCTGTGCAAATTCTAGCCACATTAAAAGTCACTTAAATCACTTTTCTTCCCCATTCTGTTGCTCGGTTTGAACTGCAGCATGTCTACATGCCTAAATGCATTGAGGTGGTCCCATGTGATTGGCTGATTAGGAACTTGCGTTAACAAGTAGTTGGACAGGTGTACCTAATAAAGTGGCCAGTGAGGGTTAAAGCTATATAAACACATATATAACATTATTGCTAATATATTTGAATATATGTGTACATAATTGATATTCCGAAGGTTAGAAAAAATATATACATATAAGGGCCATTACTTGCAGTATTTCAAAATATATGTTGCATATTTTTTTACATGCAAAATCCAAATATGAACTTGTATGTCATATACTGTATATAATTGGCATATGTATCAGATGTCTGTATGTGTAAATGGCTGTAACCTTAACATATAAGCATATGTCTGGTCTCTACCACACCTCTACACTTCTAACTGTGCATCTAAAAACACACGAGAGTCTCTAACCTGAGTCTCACACTGCCAGCATTCAGTGTGTGTGTGCTTCTCCATTAGAGAGGCTGACCGTCATCAGCTCTGACCTTTCAGTGTATCTCCAGTGCTCTTGACAAACAGATATCCATGCCCACACATACATAAAAACCCCTCACACACACACTCTCGGGATTGAGTGTGTGTGCGGTCTTACGTCTGTGATGGCGTTGATGGCCGTGTCTGCCCCGATGCTCAGGTCTGAGCCGGGGATATTGTTGGACACAGTGGCCGGGACCATCACCATCGGCACACAGAGCTCTGCGTGTTTGGAGCGAGCTGCTTGGAGCTCCATCAGACCCAAATATGCCTGCGGTCAGAGTAAGGACTTATGGGTCACTGAGCAGGATTATGGGTAATGGGCAGAGAGCCGTGCCCACTGTGATAATGAGGGAAAGAGGAACTGGAAGAGGTTATGTAGACTGTGAAATGGCAGAAGAAACCTGTATCTCTTTTAGTAGTGCACAGAACAAAATAAGTCATTATTGAGTGTCTCAGTTCTAGATGGCAACCCTTTTGTAGAATTGATGAACATTAAAAGTATATACAGTTGAATAGAGAATTAGTAGCCCTGCTGAATTATTAGCCCCTCTGTATATTTTTCCCAATTTCTGTTTGTTATTTCTATTCTATTCTTCACACTTCTAAACATAATAGTTATATAGTCATAATGATTCATTTCTAATAACTGATTTCTTTTTTCTTTGCCATAAGACAGTGCATAATACGTTAGTAGATACTTCCAAGGTACTAGTATTCAGCTTAAAGTGACATTTAAAGGCTTAAACTAGGTTAATTAGGCAACTTAGGGTAATTAGACTAATAATATTGATCTTAAAATGGGCAATGGTTTTTATTCTAGCTGAAATAAAACAAGTAAGACTTTCTCCAGAAGAAACAATATTATAGGAAATACTGTTAAAAATTCCTTGCTCTGTTAAACATCATTTGGGAAATGTTTCGCAGGAAGGCGAATAACTTTGACTTTAACTGTAGATTAGACAAAACGTCACCTTAGAATTATAAGATTCTAGCTGCAATCTGATCTTTTAAGTTTTTGCATTCCATAGCAAACAGTATGTGCCTAACATAAACCCTAAACCTAACCCTTTTAAAATAAAAAAAGTCCTAAAATGTTAAAAACGTATTTAAAAAAACATCCTATAATGTAAATAAGTTGTCATTTAATAAGAATATGTCAATAACTCAATTTTGACAAAAATGTCAGATAGAACCTTATAATTCTAAGGTGACTAAATATATTGTTGCTGCATTATTTATTATTATTTATTTATTTTTCTTTCAAAGTTTATATTATTATTATTATCATTATTGAGTCTAGATATTATTCTTGTTTTTTTTTGTTTTTTTTTTTGCTAAACTGTAATCCAAATTGACAAAGGTTTAAATGTTCAATGTTTAAAATAAAAAGTGTGTAATTTAAACTAGGGCTGTGCGATTAATAGAAATTGTTTCGAAATCACGATTTGGACGTGTGCAATTTCTAAATCGCCTTAAAGCACGATTTTCCCTCTGTATACTATTTGAACCAATCATAATGCAGCGCGCCTAAACAAAGCATGAGAACAGGAAACTGAATAGGCTGCATAAACAGATGAAGATGAAGTTCATCTAAAAAGGACTTGCCTTGGTGCCAAAAAAAAGTCAACAATTGTGGTGTGGGATTACTTTGGAAACAGGAAGGCTGATGTATTGCAGAACCAGGTAATTTGTAAGTCCTTTATACATTGCGTCTCAGGCAGTACTCACACTAGGTACAGTTGCCTCGGCACGCTTACGTCATCGCTGCTGCGCTGTTCAGTGAGAAGCGCTCTCTCACTCAGCAGGACAGTGGAGATTTCTGTAGTTATATCGTTTGAGTCGTTTGTTATGCAGTGACATGCAGTCAAATATTTCGCCAAACAGTCCTTAGGGATGCGGGGACACGCAGTCAGATATTTCGCCGAACAGATTTGCCACTTTGGGCGCTCATAAACAATCATAAAGCTCTCGAGCTGCAGGATTGAGGAGGTCTGCTGTAGGCGAGCTGTGAGAAGTTCTCGTCTTTAATAAACAACGGCAGTTTGCGTTTACTGAACAGTAAGAATGAATAATAAATCCATATGAAACAGTCCCTTAAAAGTCACGTCTCACTTTCAGTTTCGGGCCAAAGCCCAAGTGAACCGCGCTCAGGCACACCTCTTCCAACCGGGCCAGGGCCAGCCAAGTGAACTGTGCTTGAGCCCGATTCAGCACACTCACACTTCTCAAACGATCCAGGAAACGGGCCTGGGCACGGTACGGATGGCATAGTGTGAGTAGGCCCTTAGGGTGCTTTAACACCTGTAAATCGATTCATTTGTTCCGAAACAGGGATTAAAATTGTTACAATGTTGCTCTTTTTTCTTGGTGCAGTTCGTTTTCACACGGAAAAGTTTCTAAACAGACCAACAGAGCTAAAACAAGTCAAGTGTGAGTAAACTGTCCTTACATCGGTCAGAGTTTCACGGTTTAGTCCCGCTCAACTGTCGGGGGTGGGGTGTTGTGGTGTTTGAAATATTGCGTGTGACGTGTCTGAAGAGCAAGGACAGATGTGGTGGGAGGGGTAGGGTGGGGTGGGAAGGGTGCGCGATGTATTTGAGGACCAGGAGGGAGATGCGCGATTTCCAGGAGATTATCACTCGTTTGCGGGCATCCGGTAGTCTCTGTGCATTTGTGGGAGACTCACGAAACTTCCGGGATATCTGGAATGACGTCCCGCACTACTCATAATTCTCTCTTCCTATAGCCGTATACCTATTACATACCCATAAAACACTGGGATATAGCCGGGCTCAGATTGTATCGTTTTCTTACTACAATCGATCCGCTCCAGACTTCGTTTCAATCAAGCCAAGACCACCTCATTCAGGCGATCTCAGACCGATTGTTTTGGACTGGATCCGAGCGCGATTGCTGGATTCACCTATGCCAAACAAACCGCGCTAACTGGGCAAACAAGACAGGTTCCGAAACAAAAAAAAAAGTGTGTGGAAAGCGTGTGGAAAGCGCGAGGCACGCCACTTCTGTTTTCCCAAAGGATGACAAACTAACAAAACATTGCTGCAGCTTTGATACACGTTTTATTCATGGAGAAAATTAAAAAGAGCTTGGTGTTTGGGTATCCTGTGTTTGTCTGAGGTAATTAATCTACCGATGTGTGTATATTCCATACAAAGTATGACGCTGATCGGTCAGTTCTTGTTATGTGACTCTCGGTGTGCCATTCTGAAAAGTTACATTTAAAGTTTGTCTGAAAAGAGATGTTTTCAACTGGGAGCACCTGGAGTACGCAAACGTGAGGCTCTCAATATGATAGTTATTAAGAAATATTGCAAATAACAGACTTGTGCATGTAAAATCACAAGTCACAAAGAGGTCTATGAGCTATGCATGGCAAAAAAATCTGTGGACACATTGAAAAGTACACACAACTACTTCTGCTATGTGGTCAAGCAGAACTTCGGAGCCTTCCTTAAGTTTGACAGCGCGCGCACACACACATTAGTTTGTTTATTTGTTTTGCCATAGGTCTGTTCTAGAGCTAATTTATTACACCTTTGCTAGGTGAACTTTATTTTACATTTTGCCTTGTGTCTGTTTTAGAGACATGCTACAGGTCTTTGATGAAGATCTAATTATTTTCCTTTGGAAAAATGTTTCACACTGTACATAAACACTGTAACGTGATTAAAATTAAAATCGCAATATTGCTCTGGAAAATCATGAGAAGTTTATTTTTTTACCCATATCGCACAGCCCTAGTTTATACCCACTCTTACTCTCCATAAAACTAGTAAACTACACCTCATAATCGATACAATGCAGAATAATTGAGATAAATATTAAGTATTTGTTAATATATTATTTATAATATAATAAAATAACACAATAACAAAATATTTTTGATTTTGTCATTATAAAAATGAAGTCAGATTAGAAAAGATAATAAGATAATAAAGATAATAAAGTGTCTTCATATTGAAGAAAGGCATTTATGCTACATTTATATTTCAGTATGTACAGTTAATGATTGTACTGATTACCCTTAGACATCATTTTTGTTTGTTTCCAGGTGTTTTAAGCTACTATTTAAAATGTTGAGGTTGATCAGATCTTTATTTTTATAAAATCAGTCCTAGTGTGGAATAGTAAAACTATTATCTATTTTATTTATTAATTATCAGCAACAATTATGTGTATGTGTGTGTACCTTGTATTCTTTACATTGTACATTGTCCCCACAAGTATAGAAATACCAGTGATTTTTTTTTTACCTTACAGGGGCATTTTTTAGTTCCCATGATAAAAATGGCATATAAATCTTACAGAATGAAGTGTGTTGATAATGTGAGAATATAGAATATAAAGTCTTTACAGTATAAAAATTATGTCAATGGGAAGTACCCATAACAATAGCTGCATGTGTGTGTGTGTGTGTGTGTGTGTGTGTGTGTGTGTGTGTGTGTGTGTGTGTGTGTGTGTGTGTGTGTGTGTGTGTGTGTGTGTGTGTGTGTGTGTGTGTGTGTGTGTGTGTGTGTGTGTTTGTGTGTGTGTGTGTGTGTGTGTATGTATGTCATGATGTAAATTTTCTTTTACCTTTACAAACCTACTGACCCCAAATTTTTAAATGGTAGCATTGGTAAGATGATAATACAATTGTAAATCTGTAAGATAGATTTTGTTAAAATAACTTTTAAAACAGGGATATGTTACACTTTATAATAATTAAATATTATATTCTTATAGAAAATACTTTTTTGGCAGTATAACAAAATATTATGAATGATTGTTTTTTACCTGTAAATAAAATTCAATATAACAAATATAAAATGATACATAATGAAGTGTGATCCTAATAAATACGTCTGGGAAACTGAGTTGGCTGGCCTTTTTTTCAGTAGTACATCATATTTTACTAATTTATATGTAGGTGAATACTGTTAACATCATAACACATACCTCAAATCCTCCAATAACCAGTAAAGCGTTTATGTTGTGAATCCTCATCTGCTCTGCAATTTTATCCACATGTTTTGCTGGGAGGGTTCTGAAAAATGACACTTCAGGGTATCAGAAAACATCTAATACAATGCACAAACACACTTTTGTTGACAATAGACCTGAAGTGTAACCTTACCGTTTTGTTCCTAGCAGGGACCCGCCCTGCCCCGTCCAGCCCCCAACATCCCCCCACTTGATTTCTTTTATCTGAGAGAAAGAAAACATTAAAAAAACAGAATACAGTGTGAACGTTTGCTTGAATTTGAACTCCTTTACACTGCAAAATAAAAGTATGATCACTGATACTAACAGAGTTAGAGGGCACCTATGATGAAAATGAAGCTGTTTGGACAGAACTGTGTGTATTGTTTTTTCACTGTCATATTGGAGTGACATAAACCCAACAAGTCTCTTTTTAAAAATTTCCCGATATTAAAACAGGACCCAAATCCCTGTGATTTTGAAGCCCACCGCAACGTCTACACACAAAGAAAGCTTGTAAAACTGCTTTAGTCCCATTGAATGTTCAAAATGTGCACTGAAATGGCAAACATGTATTTTCAAAGGCGCTTCCTCTGAATGATGAAAGCAGCATTGAGTGCATCTGAAATGTTACACTGGGTTAAATATGGCACTGAGCACAATGCAGCAGGGGATTGTGGGAGGGAATAATGGGCTTACTGTAATCATGAGGGTTTATCTCATTAGGAAAAGGACCAATTCACACACACACACACACACACACACACACTACTGTCCATGCAGTGTTTCTCACAGAACAGGGTTGCTACCAGATGTTTGATTTGTTTAAATGAAAATATAACGACATTTCCATCACATCTTGAATAATGAACTGTATTTGAAAACAATTAACATCTTAAACAATCAAAAAGTCATGTTTTTGTTTCAATTATGTTTACTGATGCTTTGTCTTTTAGTAACCAAGCTTTCAAAACATTATTAGTGGCAAAATTGCTGGTTGAAAAGGAAATAATGTCAAAACATTTACTTTATTGATCAAACTTTTATACAGTGCATCTGGAAAGTCTTCATAGCGCTTCATTTTTCTACATTTTTTTATGTTACAGTCTTATTCCAGAAGTTGTTGTGAAGCCACTTCATTGATATTTTGGCGGTGTGCTGCTGTCATTGTCCTGCTGGAAGATGAACCATTGCCCCAGTCTGAGGTCAAGGTTTTCATTCAGGATGTCTCTTTACATTACTGCATTCATCTTGCCCTCTATCCTGACTAGTCTTCCAGTTCCTGCTGCTGAAAAAAATCACCCCACAGCATGATGCTGTCACCACCATGCTTCACTGTAGGGATAGAGCTGGCTTAGGTGTTTCTCACCAGATCACTCAGCTTAGATCTAGGAAGAGTCCTGATGGTTCCAAACATCTTCCACTTATGGATGATGGAGGCCACTGTGCTCATTGGAACTTTCAGAGCAGCAGAAATGTTTCTGTAACCTTCCCCAGCCTTGTGCCTCAAGACAATCCTGTCTTGGGGGTCTACAGACAATTCCTTTGTCTTCATGCTTGGTTTGTGTTTTGACATGCACTGTCAACCCTGGGACCTTATATAGACAGGTGTATGTCTTTTCAAATCATGTCCAATCAACTGAATTTACCACAGGTGAACTCCAATGAAGCTCAGAAACATCTCAAGAATGATCAGTGAAACAGAATGTAACTGAGCTCAATTCAGAGCTTGATGGCAAAGGCTGTCAATACTGATGTACAGGTGATTTTTCAGGTTTTTAATTTTTTTATAAATTTGCAACAATTTCAAAAACTCTTTTTCACATTGTCATTATGGGCTATTCTGTGGAGAATTTAGAGGAAATTAATGAATTTAATCATTTTTGGAATAAGGCTGTAACATGAAAAGTGAGAAAAAAGTGAGGAGCTACAGTATGAATACCTTCCGGATACACTGTATTATCTTTCTACTCTTTGAAGTAGAAAGTTCGGTGTTAAATGTTAGGTGTTCAGAATGTTAAATGTTAGGTGTACCAAGAAGTTAATGAATCTCATTTTAATGGATAAATATGGTTTGGTGTGTTTGGTTTAAATACACCAAACTATATTGGATATATTCACTGGCAAAAGTGTGTGTAGTCATTTATGCAGACCAATGAAAGTATTAAATACAGTTGAAATCAGAATTATTAACCCTACTGAATATTTTCCCCAATTTTAACATATATCTAATCTTAATAGTTTTAATAACTAATTTCTTATAACTGACTTCTTTTATTTTTGCCATGATGAAAGTAAATAATATTTTACTAGATATTAAAAGATACTAGTATTCAGATTAAAGTGACATTAAAAGGCTTAACTAGGTTATCTAGGCAGGTTAGGGTAATTAGGCAAGTCATTGTATAATCGTGGTTTGTTCTGTCGACAATCAGAAAAAATATTGCTTAAGAGGGCTAATATTATTGACCGTAACATTTTTTTTCATTAAAAACTGCTTTTATTCTAGCTGAAATAAACAAATCAGACTTTCTCCAGAAGAAAAAATATTATAGGAAATACTATGAGAAATTCCTTGCTCTGTTAAACATCATTTGGGAAATATAAAAAAGAAAAAGAAAATTCACAAAAGGGCGAATCATTTTGCTTTAACTGTGAATGCTGAAAGATCACTAATAAAAAGGCCAAAGGTCTGCTTCTGCGATTACCTACTACTGCATTACCTGTCCTTTGTAGAAGCCCTCAAACCCGTCGCTCACAGCAAACATGGTGTGTCCTTCAGTGATGCCGACTCTGACAGCTGAGCGCACGGCAGCATTCATACCAGCCGCAGGAGCGCCAACATTCAACACGGCCACATTAAACGAACTCTAGAGGACCGAAGAGAAGAGAGATGCTATTATAATATCGTAAGTCTTACTGTTCTCAAAGCATCTGTGCCCTGCTGTTACCCACAAATGTTTATAGTACAATTCAGTGTTAATCTAATCTTGTGCGAAACAAAAACAACTGAGCAAAATCCTGGATTAAACTGCTGTTGCGAGTAAATCCTTGTAATGCATGACTATGCTCTTGTGCTAGTGATTGAGAGGAATAGTTCACCCAAAAAAGTGAAAATTCTGTCATTATTTAATCTCCCTTCAATTGTCGCAAACCTGTGTCTGTTTCTTTCTTCTGTTATACACAAAGGAAGATATTTTGATGAATGGTAGAAACCTGTAACCATTTACTTACATAGTCGTTTTTTTCCTACTATGGAAGTCAATGGTTGCAGGTTTTCCCACATTCTTCAAAACATCTTCCTTTGTGTTCAACGACAGAAAAGGTGTGAAACAACTGGACGCTGAGTAAATAATGGCATATTTTACATTTTTGAGTCAATTATGCCTTTAAGCTTTCTTCACTTGCATATAAATACAAATAATATGCAAGATTTAATCTGTTTTTATTCTCTACACTACTAAGTTCTAGTCTATAGGGTCAGTGCGAGGTCTGGTAAAGGATCTGCTGAGTGATTTCAGTGCTGCACAGATGGACACACAAGGATGTTTACATGACAGAAAAAAAACTGAAAGCTTTATGTGTTTTGAAAACAATTTAATTATCATTTCTGTGTAAAAATAATAAAAGTCTAGTGTTTCTATGGTAGCTGTTATAAGAGATCTATGTGAACGGGGACAAAACTATCATAATGTTATCACTTCTTGATTTTTTTTTTAAATGCTGCAGTGAATTCATACCCTATAGTACTCTCTCAGATAGTAGGGCTGGGCGATTGATCGAAAAGTAATGGAAATCGACATTCAAAATCAATAATCGATCTAATTTCTCCAGGTCGATTTTATCAATTACTCTCCTTACCGTGTGTGGAGTCATGTGACGCTGCTCAGAGGTGCGTCTCCCAAAACCATCATTAGCCAACTAAGGTCGCAATTTCTGTCGTCACAAACATAGTTTGTTGATTTGCCGTTTCCCAAACCCATCGCTCCAACGAACATTCGCAAACTGCGTCACAAACTTGAGCACCCGCAACTACATCTCTGAAGCTGTATTTAGAAACATAGTTCCTGGCTGCTCGCTATTCCCACTTATCCCACTTGTTATATTATTAAAAATAAAAAAGCATTAAGGTCATCTCTCTTAGGTGTAATTTGCTTTCAAACTATTTTTACAGCTCAGTTTTAGCGATCTTTACGTTTACAGTTGCGCTCCCTTCGCAGTGCACTTTGAAAACATTGATGTCATTTTGAACACAGCCTCATTGCGAAAGCTATAGGTGACCCATTATTTAAAAGCGGAATTAATGATACGTTTCCAATGTAAAAACAAAAAGCATAAGTTAATTCTTTTCATATATAGTGGGTTATTTATTAAGTATCTGTACTGTATGACATGGGCCTTCTCATTAGAACGCTCTGAAAATTTAAAAAGTATATATAAATAAATAAAACAATATCCTACTTAATAATAATAATAATAATAGTTATTATTATTATTATTATTATCATCATAATCATAAATATTAAAGTATGATTTTTTCATTTTTAATAAATAATAAATATTAAATTTCATTTTATAATAAATAGCCTTATTTTTTATTTATTTAAATAATTTATATGATATTAGAATACGTGTTAGCTTTTGTAAGTGGATGTTTTAGAATAGACTATGTAATGTTCAACTTTAAGCAAACACAGGCCCTATGTGCCATTTACATATATTTCAGTTAATATGGAAAGCGAGTGCATGTTTTTACCAACCTAATATTGGATTTTCTTTTAAAATCGCGTGCGTGTAAAACAATATATTTTGCACAAAGAAATTATGGGTTTTTCTCTAAAGTAGTGACTCCACCCAGTTTAGAGCAACAGAGAAACTACAGGTTTTGGGAAACACTCGTCACTACATCATTCTTTTTCCAAACGCTCCATCGTTCCGCGATAGTTCAGCCGTGAGTTACGTCGTTGTTTGGGAAACGCACCCTTGTTTGTTACTATTGTGTTACTTTGCACTACATTGACCATGACTGGAAGCTGCGCCAGAGATGCCTTAAGATGGCATATTTTCCATTACATCAAAATTATTTAAATTAAAATATTTGTTTAGGCGACGCAGTGGCGCAGTAGGTAGTGCTGTCGCCTCACAGCAAGAAAGTCGCTGGGTCGCTGGTTTGAGCCTCGGCTGGGTCAGTTGGCGTTTCTGTGTGGAGTTTGCATGTTCTCCCTGCATTCGCGTGGGTTTCCTCCGGGTGCTGCGGTTTCTCCCACAGTCCAAAGACATGTGGTATAGGTTGAATTGGTTAGGCTAAATTGACTGTAGTGTATGAGTGTAAATGAGTGCGCAGATGTTTCCCAGTGATGGGTTGTGGCTGGAAGGGCATCCGCTGCGTAAAGCATGTGCTTGATAAGTTGGCAGTTCATTCCGCTGTGGCGACCCCAGATTAATAAAGGGACTAAGCCGAAAATAAATATTTAGCAATAAAAACACTCCAATCAGAAATATATTGTATTTAAAACTTGGAATAAATAAATAAAATGCCTCTGGGGACAAAAAATGGGAAGCTTCAGGAACTCAGGCGATAAGCACTATATTATCATATTCTACTTCTATAAAACTTATACATACACGACAATGGCCATCCTGCTCTCCACCATCATTGCCAAAGAAGAAAATAAATGAGTTGTGTGACAACTGAGCTGTGAGAACACACTTCACAGAAAGAAGCTGAATCAGAGCAGACATGCCTTGAACATCACAACAGACTTACATGTGGAAGCTCTGTGTCAATTTTGCGGTGAGACAAGAGTTTGTAGGTGTTCAGGTTGTTTTCGAAACTTCTACAATTAGAAGAAACAAAAAACAGACCATTCAGACATTTCCTTTAGTGATAAAGAGCATGAATTAAGTTAATGGTTAATTCATAATACTGTTTTTTGAACCATGGTTTTTGTACCAATGAAAAGTACATAAATGCTTGTAATGGCAGACATAGTCAAAGAATTTCTACATTATCTTTTCAATTTTTGTAACAAGAACAAAAGAAGAAAAAATAGTAAAAACACACAAATAACAGAATTCCAGAGGTGGTTCATTCAGCTATGACGACCCCCTCATAATGATAAATGATATGTCACTTAATAATGACAATTATAATAATTACAATAGTAAATGTAAAAAAAAAAAAAAACAGAATACATAAATAAAGACATCTGCTGTGTAAAAGGAGAAGGAATTTGTGGTTTACCTGCCACGCAGCTTCACAGCTTCTTCAAATCTCTTTTCATCCATGGCCTTCTGAACCTCCTGAGTCTGCATTACAACAAACAAACAAGCTGAAAACTCTAAAGCAGACGTAAAATCTGTCTACCAAACACTCATAAGACTGAACCAACTTTACAGTAAACAAAAGATACAGGGCTGGCTTTTACAGTGCCCCTATTATGCTATTTTAAGATGTTTACATCCAAAAGATGTATCTATCCAAAGTTCCCCCAAATTTTGATTTGATCATAACATAAACTGCTTCATGAAGGAATAAAATTACAGTCTAATGCTTCTTTTGAATTATATACATGTGGTCATGCTTATTTTGCATATGTATATGTGTTTGCTTGAACCATGATAATCTAATGAGTCCACGCAGTGATATGATGAGACATTCTGTTTGACCTTAAAATCAGACAGGAACTTTCCACCCCTATAATGTCAAATAACTAAATCTGTAACAGACAAGTCTTGCAGAAAGCCCCTGTCTGGGTTGCAGCTGTGATGTGTGACTTTTCTACACAGAAAAGAGAACTGGTGCAGATAAGGAAAATATTGCTTTATTGTCTTACTAATCACTCTTTTCTTTTGATATATTTTTGCTATTGGATGAATATACTCCCATTTGCCTCACTATTCATTATTTACAATATGTGTTTTTGTCAGATATGATGATGTCTCCTGATATAGCGTACTTCTACTTAACCCCTGTTATAATGTGTTTCTAACTAACTGCTAAAACCACAAGAGCTGTGTGTGGGTGCTGGCTGGAGACAGATCTGCAAAAGTGCTTCCCCTAGATGGGTGCATACACAGGTCAAGAGTTCATAGACAGGACTAGGAGGAAAAGCAGATGTGGTAGATGCAGCATTTTTATACTGCTCTCTGTGTATGCGTGATGTATGATGCTTTAATAAAATTTATATTATCCTGATAATTCTATAAGGAAGTTATGATGCTCAGCTGTGCTTTGATGATTTTTTGCTACAGTTGCTTGCTGCACCTCAGATGTCAGTAATGTCAAGTATGTCAAGGAGGAGTGATACTTTCCCTTGCCCTTTTGTTTCTGTGTGCAGAGGTATCTATGTGTGCAGACCACAGATTTTGAGAGATGATTCTGCCTGAAAACAGCTGATGGCAACAATAGAGATTGGGGGTAACTGATCAGAGGAGAGGCCAAAAAGATTGAACGCTGCTGATGGATAAAAGAAGGGAGTCGAAAGAGTTTGAGAGCTTTTGGACATCCAGACTGCTTGGCTGACGGTTCTTCAAAAGCCCAGGATCCTGATCTTCCCTTTATTCACTTATGCTCGATAAATAAATTCATTGATTTTGATTAATTGACTCCTGACCGATTATTGAATTGGGGTGGACTAAGGCAAGTGACAAATAGTCCAACATTCATCAGCTCTTTTCTCACAGTGTCTGAAATGGTTTGTTCAAAAATCTGCTCTCTTTAAACCCGTCTTTCTGTGAGATCATGACCCAGTGTGTTTTGATTGGTTGGCAGCTTACAGCATGTGTCAGAAACAAAAGCCTGGTTTATACTTCTGCGTCAAGCGCACGCGTATGCTACGACGCAGCCTATGCGTTGATGCATAAGCCTACGCTGTGGCCGCGCGAGCCTGATGAAGCGATTGTTTACAGGTGTGTAGTCCCGTGAAGGAGCTCTGAATGGAAAGTTTTGTTTTGTGTTTTCATGGTTCTCATGGTTATAGTTGTTGCATGTCTGCCGGTTCCTGCCTCAAAATGACAGAGTTTCGGCCACTTGTACATAATGGAAGCATAAAACACCAGCAAAGAAACACAACACAGAGGAACATTAACACCTTACTGCCAACTAGTGGTTCGGAAGTTTTATTGCAGAACAACAGAACCAGCGCGCAGAAGTATAAATGCTTAGCTACGCGTGTTGCATGCGCCGTGGGGCACGCCAATCACTTGATGCAGAAGTATAAACCAAGTATAAATATACAAATATAGAAGTATAAATTTCTGTAGTTCTGAAATAACACCTTCGCTCCATTGGGCTCGCGTGGCTCTTGGCCCCGCCCAGACTCGTCAGCGCTACCAAGTCGACCAATCACAGAGCTTGCGCTATGCGCCGTTGCGACGTGTAGTTAAATTTTTTGAGAGGTGCACGTCAGCGATGCTGACGGCCATGGCGTACGGCTAAGTATCAACGTGTAGGCCGCACTGTAGCATACGCATGCACTTGACGCAGAAGTATAAATCAGCCTTCAGGCTGTTTCTCAATTCCAAGAAAACAGAGAACGGACTTGCATTCTGGTGAAGATCGTTCTTGCCAGGTCACCTCGGAAGAACAAATTATTTTTATAATTTATTTAAACATTACAGCATTTATACAACAATTTATTGTTTTTCCCCTTTTCAATATGTATATATATATATATATATATATATATATATATATATATATATATATATATATATATAGAACATGCATTAAATCTTACTAATATACGTTGCACAATACAAATAAAACACATTTTAATAAGAATTTCAGCAAATAAACACTTTTAATGTGTTTATGAGTTCATTAAGATTTTTATTTTAATGTCTACTTTCACGTCTTATTTAAGGAAACTCCTGAGACAAATAAGTTATCTCTGAAGTCTCTGAACTTTAATAATAAACGAGTATAAAAGGCTGCACTTCCCACCTCCTTTATTCAGCCATAATGACTTCTGTGACTTCTCAAGCAAGTTTTTCGCTCAAGTCTGCATCCACGCATCCTCGATATTAAGAATACATGTGGGAACTTTCACACGTCCTCCATTCTTGCGGCCTTGAATTTTGGAACTAAGCTTTGGCATTTGACATGACACAAGAACACGAGGACGCAAGATTGCTAAAGAACGCATATTGAAAAACAGCCCATATGTCTATTACTTTTATGTTCCTTCCCCTTTCGTCTAGGGTTTGAGAATGGAAGTAACATAATTAGCTACAATTTGCACTTTAGGGGAACAACAACAAAAATAAAACTAACAAATTAGACAAAGGCTAGATAATAAGCAAAACTGAGGAATTACTTCAGTCCTTAGAAATGTGAAACAACCACAAGATGAGTAAACTTAATTTTTTTTTCTTATAAATCGTCAAAAATGGGAAGCAGTAAGCATAAACCAAAACAACAAACAAATCAGGAACTAGCTTAGGAGGAGTACTAAATAACCTATCCAGGTAAAAGAAAAGAAATAAACAACAAAAGCTTTCCTCGACTCCCTTACTAAGAATACACAGAGACAATCTAGAACAAAAATAAAAATGGCACCCTCTCCTTACGGCTTCCTTTTGTAAATCAAGTTTAAATCAAACAAAGAAACAAGACAATTACCTTTTAAACACCATAACAATGAAAGTAGACGGACTGCCTGCAAGTTCAACAACACAAGGTAAACAACAAAGTTCTTCAAAAGACTGAAGTTGGATTGTGCTCAATAAACATCTCACATCAAACAACAGGTCAATACCCCCCTCCCCCTTCTACCCTCTAGGCAGGAAACACACAATAAATAAACAATTATAATTAATACATTCAAAGGATGTAACAATTACAAAATCTGAATTTTAGCTCGAAAGGTTTTCTCAGCTTTTGTTAACAAAGGGATTTGAACAGTAACAATGTCTATTTTTTCATCTAAATATGCAAATAGGACTGCAAAACTTGAATGCTGCATAAAACCTTTACTAATAAAGCAGCGTTTCCATCCAATGCAAGTCAAAGAGAACAAAATCATCACTTTCTGATTAACTGGCAGCAAATATCAAAAGGAAAAAAAGGAGTTTGCTGTGATAGAAACTGTGCGCCTTTACTCTTATATAAGAAATTACTTACGCTTCAAAAGACAAAAACAAAACACAATGAAAGCACTGTGGCAAACAAATTCACATGCCTTTTTTGAGCCACATGCTGGAATTCATTCAGTAAATGTGTTTCCATCATAGTTTATGCACATTTATTATTATCTCTTTCTTAAAAGAAGTTATTTCACAGAATGCTGGTTGTTGGTACCCATAGAAAATAAATGATTATGGAGGTCAGTGGGTAGCATCAACCAGCATTTTTCAAAATAACTTCTTTTGTGTTCAATCGAAGAAAGAAAATCAAATAGGTTTTGAACAAGTGAAGTGTGAGTAAATGGTGACAGAATTTAGATTTGTAGGTGAACTATCCTATTAAAGTACGAATGAAATCATAACTAACCATATGAGCTCACATTACTAACATAATCTGTGCATGTCATAGGGCTGGACGACATGGGCAAAATATCATATCCCGGTATTTTTAGGAAGAATGACAGTATACGATATATATCTGGTATTTTTCCATAAATGGTTACTCAAGAGTTAAAGCCTTTATTAAAACATTATTAAACGTTTTTTGAGCAAATTATAATCCAAACACAGGGGTTTTCCTCCCTGTTTACAAATAAACAGCTGCACAAAAAATAACAGCTGTGCAAAATATTTGATAAATAAAACACAGTACAGGTTTTCTCTTACTTAAAACTGTTGCAGAACATTTCAAATTATAAACAAAATCTTTGATAAATAAATTGCATTGCATTGTATAAATAATTGCATTGTATAAATAAAACACTATACAATGCACTACTGTTCTGTTGTGCAAATAACAAAGTAAACAGAACTAAAGAAAACAGCAACATTGTCAGAGCAAAAAAGGGGCAAACTTAAATAGTAACACAACAAGAAATATTGTAGGATAGAAAAGCACCACACTGAATGTAAATTTGAAACGCAGTATTTTATGTCACACTTACAGTGTTGTTATAAGTACTCCTGTGTAGCACAGTTGTGTGATTTATAAACAACAATTTAATCAGCTGTATATGTTTTTTTACACATTTACATGTATGTATTATGCACAATTATTAAGCAGTGCACATATTGAAGATATCTAAAGAGAAGTCTTTCACTCCATGTAAAAACTCCAACACCTTTTCTTTTGTTTTGACTAAACTTGTTTTACTAAATATTAAATAAGGAGATGAAAACGAATAGACTATAGATATGAGAAGTAACCAAATTGTTTCAGAGTTCTGTGATAAAATGCTGGTGAAGCATATAAATGTAAACAGTCATTATAACAGCAGAACGCAGGGCTAAATGTGTGATAACGTAAATGTAAAGAAGAGACCGTTGTGTAATAAATACTAAACTTATAATCAGTGAATATGAGGTGGTTTCACTTTAGAATAGTGATATAAATTCCTCCCATCTTGGTGTTTTTAATTCTTTTGAACACATTCAGGTGCTGCTTGTCAATTTAAAAAGGCTTCTATGTTCGTTCTTACTGTCAATTGCGGAAGAAATGATTTATAAAAGGTTTCACATAAACCGATGTGACAGCTGCAGGCACTGTGTGACATGCGTGCACGCGAGGGGGAGTCAGATTTGTCCAGGGAGGCAGATCTCGATACAACACCGGCACTGCCTGCCCACTGCATGTTCCTGTAAAGCCCCTTTTTCTTATTTTAGATTTGAAATATTATTTAATAACAATCTCTACCTCTAGCAATGTCAAAGCTTTAAAATCAGTAACACTGTGTGAATCTTACAGTATTGTCTCTTTTTCATAATATCCAGTGGACTGCATTGTATGTGACCGTTTAAACATCACTGTGACCTTGCTTTAGGATAGATTTAAATTGATTTTTGTAATTCATATTCCCCCAGGTATAATCTTTTGTTTCTCTGTTTTGTTTTGTTCCGTTGTCTACTTTTGTTGATATAGGATTTGTACAATTTCTGTAGGTTTTTGTATTCTTCTTGAACGTTCTAATAAAATATAAATAAATAAAAAATAAATAAATAAATAATGTTCCTCCATGTAGCGTCAGAGATGGCATTTTGAACAAATCTTTTGTATGATTCATTGAGTGAATCATTCATTTGCGAATGCGTACATTTGTGCAAGTTGAGCTCACGTGTTTCCTTGGATTAGTCTGTTTCGCGCAGAATGCGCACGTGAATGATATTGGATAATACCGCATTGCTTTGGGGAATCATATCAATATATTCCCAGAACCCAATATACTGTCCCGCCCAGCCCTAGCTTGTCTTAAAGAAAAAAAATAGTTTGCCCTTATAATCAATAATTGGAATTTGAAAATCCACTTCCAGTTTGTTTTCAGTAAAATTCTATTCTATCTTATTGGGCGTAGCTAACACACTTAACCATGTCCCTCCAACTCTGTTTTGACAACAAACAGAAATGGTGAGCAGGAGGTGTCTGTTACATTGTAAAAACTCTCCTGAAACCCTTTTCCCGATCTTTCTGAATGGAAGGCCTACTTTACTACACCCAATCAGCTCACAGTAAAAAAACAAGCCACGCCCACTGTTTTCTCATTTAATATTCTGTTTCTCTAGGAGCTGCATCACAGAAGAAAAAAAGCTTCCAGTTCATGCGGACTTTAACCCCTACAATGTAGGTAATCTCCAAAAACGAATAATAATGGAACACTTTTAAAGGCAAACAGCATTCATTTCTCACCATCTGAACACACTCCATCAGAGGGACCCTGACCGCCTGGTTTCCACACAGAGACACCACACATGCTGGAGTACCAGGAGACGCTTCGAGAAGAGCCAAAACGGCCTCCACTCCCATGCGACTGGCCTGTGGAGGAAATGCACACCACAGTCAACAAACAGGGGTCAATGTAAAAGTTCAGATCATTTAGATACAGTTGGGATTTATACCAGAATCCGGTCAAAGGCAGAGGGGGTTCCTCCTCTCTGGACGTGGCCCAGAATGGTGACCCGAGTGTCAAACCCCAACCGGCTCACGACCAGCTGCGGGAGAGATTCGACAGAGTATTTACATAATATAAAAGTCACAGAAATTCACGTGTAAATATATAATTAATACACTACTATTCAGAAGTTTAACATAAGAAGGAAGTCTATTGAGCTCAACAAGGATGCATTTATTTGATTATAAATACTGTAATATTGTGAAATGATCAACAATTTTATATTCATTCATTCATTTTCCCTCAGCCTAATCCCTTTTTTTATCAGGGGTCGCCACAGCAGAAGGAACCGCCAACTATTCCGGGATGTTTTAAGCAGCGGATGCCCTTGTAGCTGCAACCCAGTACTGGGAAACACCCATACACTTCCTCATTCACACACTCATACACTATGGTCAATTTAGTTTATTCAATTCACCTATAGCTCATGTCTTTTGACTGTGTGGAAAACCAAAGCACCAGAAACCACACGAACACGGGAAGAGCATGTAAACTCCACACAGAAACACCAACTGACACAGCCGGGACTTGAACTAGCGACCTTCTTGCTATGAGGCAACAGTGCTAACCACTGAGCAACTTTGCCACCCTAATTTTATAATAAAATACTTCTAAAATAAAATATTTTATTGTCATATCTTTTAAAATGTCATTTATTTTTATAAGAGCGAACATTTAGAATAATTTCTCCATTATTCAGTGTAACATGACCCTTTAGAAATCATTCAATATGACATCTGTATTGTACATGAGTAATACTTACGATTTTTTTTTAATTCTTTGTAAATGTAAAGTTTAGTAGATATTATTTAAATTATAGCAATAATAATAATAATAATAATAATAATAATAATTTAAAAATAGTTTTCTAGTACTGGGTTGTGGCTGGAAATCATTTCACTTGGCAGCCATCTTTGAAACGCCTCTTCGGCAGTATGCTAGGGCATTCTGTCTGAATGGGGAAACATCAAATTCTCCAAAACTGTTTGCCAAGCTTACGATTACAATACGGATTTGGAATCACTATTAAAATTAAACAACAACCGTCTCATAACTTTCGTCTCTAAACATTTGAATCAAACAAAATTAGCATTTTTTCAGGTTGCCAGAGTTAACGCGCATGCGCAATCGAAAGAAACAAGATCACGCAGCAAACCTCATTTATGGTTATTCTACACATTATCATCCTCTGGATAATGATCGTCTGACCACGCTGCTCTTCTAATAATTCACAATAATTCAAGTAATTCACAACTTGATCTTGATGGTGAATCTCCTCCAGAAATGACAGTGACTCTTTGTTTACAAGTTTGTGGGTGTTTGAGTAGTTGCTGCTGTCATATGATGTGTGTTTGACACGATGAACTTTACCTCACGTTCCTTTCATGCAGAATACAAAACCAGAAAACTTTTGTTTTTAAGTGTAGGTGGTTCATTTAAAAGTACAGACGTCAAGCTTTATCTAGATATATTTCTTATGTCTGTGAAGCAAGTATACGTTGAAATTCCAGTGGGTTTGTTTACAACAGAAAAAGCACCTCAATCCTCAGTATATAGCGATCAATGATTGGCTCCTGTACTAGTAGGCGGGGCTTCGTTTGCCATATTGACTGTTACACTTTTACTCATTTAAAACTATCCGAGTGACAAGTCTGGTGTATTCTATAGTCTTTGAAAAAACAAATGCCAAAATAGTTGGTGGTTCATTCCACTGTGGCGATGAAAAAAAATTATTGAATAAATTAAAAATATAAAGATATATAAATATAAAAATATACAGTACATATAAATATAATATTATATACACTTCTAACAGCGTGACGCTGGTACAGTGGGTAGTAGCACGATTGCCTCACAGCAAGAAGGTCGCTGGTTCGAGCCTGTGTGGAGTTTGTGTTCTCCCCGTGTTCGCGTGGGGGTGCTCCGGTTTACCCCACAGTCCAAAGACATGCGATGCAGGAGAACTGAATAAGCTAAATTCGCCCCAGTCTATGTGTGTGAATGCAAGAGTTAATGAGTGTTTCCCAGTGTTTAATAGCAGCTGGAAGCGCATCCGCTGTGTAAATACATATGCTGGATAAGTTGGCAGTTTATTCCGCTGTGGCAACCCCTGATTAATAAAGAGACTAAGCCAAAAAGAAAATGAATGAACAAATATATGTCTAACATTCTTCAAAATATATAAAAATTGAATATTTGAAAAATTAGTCAAATTGTAGCAAATAGATCATTTCTATTAGTTTTAAGGTCAAATAAATTGTTCCTTTAGTAAAAATATTTTAATTTTAAATCATGTTTATTTTATTTTAAGCACTAAAACATTTTTTAAACACATTTAGTTACCTGTAATAACCGTAACCATAATTTTTGACCTATTTAATGCATCCTTGTTGGATAAAATATTCAGTAAAAAAGCTAAACCCACACATTTAAACAGTAGTGTACATTGACTTATCATTAATAAAGGACTGAACTATTAAACCAACTTATAAACTCCTCCATGAATTCACATTAATAAACAGAGCTCTATTTTAATAGGACTGGACTGTTCTAAAAGCAAGCACATAAACATAACCACAGACATGCAAGATGTGAGAGACAAATCTAAAAGTAAATCACACACCAGTTACAACTATTACAAATAATGCAATAAATGAGGGGAAAATATCACAGGCAAACACACAACAAACGTTATTTACACAAAAACTCAAATCTGAAATATATATTTGTTACCACTTATATAACAAAACTAGGATAGTGAAAGTAAAAAAGTACACTGTAAAAAAAGGTTCTTGCTGCCTTAAATTGTTCAGTAAATTGATTTTTATTTTCTAATCATCTCAACTTAAATCAATCAAACTGACTAAAAATATTAAGTTAAACCTTGTATAATTTTAAAACAATTGAGTGGAAACCTAATAAACTTATTAAAATAAAATAAAGCAACATAAAAATATTTGTTGTCGACTTTTTGTCTTCACATTTTTTACAGTGTAGTTTAAGAGAAGGAACTCAGTCACTTATTTAAAGCACATAAAAGTCCCGCAGTCGTGCATTACTCACGTCCTTTATATGGTCTGTGGTTATGGGCTTGTTGTTTTGGTCTATCGCACCTTCAGCTACTATGATGATATTAAGCCGTTTCTTATCAGCACGATTCTACAAGGGAGAAAAAGCGTGCGTGCACACACACACACACACACACACACACACACACACACACATCCATACACACATCCAAACGAATGAGAAAAAAGCAGGAGATACTCACGTCCTTCACTTGATGTGAGCTGATGGGGTTTCCGTGTCTGTCTGTGGCTCCTTCAGCCACTATGATTATATTAAGACGAGAACCTCGCAAACGGCTCTGCAGGACAAACACTGGAGGACTGAAACAAGCTCTGTGTGCATGTCTGTGTGTTGATTTTGGGGATTTATGAGGACAAATTTTTACAATGACTTGGGTATGACCTTTGTATTACAGTGTTGAGCTGGTTTATGAAGACATGCCCTGTGTCATTGTAAATGTAAACAGTTAAAAATCATACTTAGATTTATAAACTAGGGCAGAGGTGGCCAACTCTGTTCCTGGAGATCCACCTTCCTGCAGATTTCAGTTGCTACCCATATCAAACACACCTGAACCAATTAATTAGGACCTGAACACCACGTGATAATTACAGGCAGGTGTGTTTGATATGGGTTGCAACTGAAATCTGCAGAAAGGTGGATCTCCAGGAACAGGGTTGGCCACCCCTGAACTAGGGCCACGTGGTATTGGAAACAACTGACTTGTTATGGATAGGGTTCATTCATTTTCCTTTGGCTTTTTCTCTATTTCAGAGATCACCACAGCGGAATGAACCACCAACTATTTCAGCATGTTTTACGCAGCGAATGCCCTTCCAGCTGCAACCCAGTATTGGGAAATACCCATACACAATCTATGGACCATTTAGCTTAGCCAATTCACCCATACCGCATGTCTTTGGAAACCCACGCCAACAAAGGGCGAAATAATGGCAACTGCCCCAGCCGGGACTCAAACCAGCAACCTTCTTGCTGTGAGGCGACAGTGCTAATCACTGAGCCACAGTGACGCCCTATGTTTAGGGTTTATACCTTAAAGTTAATTTTTCCACGTGTCCAGAGAGAGTTGGGTTTAGGGGTAGAGTAAGGGAAGGTAATATAATAAGTGGTTTTTAAATTATAACATACAATACAGCAATGAAGAGTCCTCATAAACCACCAAAAACAGGTGTGTGTTTTTGTGTATGGGTGTGTTGTGTCAATGTGTATATATATTTATATATCTGTGCACAGCTGTAGCTGAAGCTAGCAAACCACAAGTTTTTTAATTTTAAATAGTGCTGTCAAGATATTCTTTAGTAAAGTGCCGTGCTACACTACAAGCCGCTAAAAATGCTAACAATAAGCAAAAACATCAGCTGTTAAATAATCTAAATATCAGATAGCATGATTCACTTGACAAAAATATTTGTAAATATAAAATAATATTAAATGTCACTTGAGAATTATTTGAAAAAGTAAATAAATAAATAAATAAATGAATAAATAATTAAATTAATAAATAAATACATACACATACATACATACACACACACACACACACATATACATTATATACATATATATAAGAGCCAGTTATGCATAATTCATTTGTGATAATAATTTAGTTAAAAAGGTTAAAACATGATAAGATTGATATTTGAATATAATAAGAATTCATTGTGATTGTATTATCTAAAATGCATAATTTAGTAATTGATATAAGTTATGGATGTTGGAAGCAACACAGTTTTTTGACCGAGCTGATTGAGTCTATTGTAACTTTGTATTTTTGTTTGCATTTGTTCAGTAAACCTTTTTTAAAAGAAGATTCGGTCTTACTCGCGTTTTTGCAAATACTGGTTGTTGGAATTGAAGCTGCAAAAGTTGGTACATAAGGATTGGCACGAAAGGTGTGCCACTACAATATTTTTATACATACAGTTGAAACCAGCAGTTTACATACACTCTAAAAAAAAAGAACATAACCATTTTTTTTTAAATGTCTGATGGTAAATCAAACTTAACGTTTACTATTTTATTTTATTTTATTTTATTTTTGAGAATTTTTTATAATTTCTAGATAGTCCAAATTTAATTTTTTAAACTTTGCTTTTACACTATATAATTTTGGTCAAATGTTTTGGGTATCCTTCCACAAGCTTCTCACAATAGTTTGAAGGAATTTCGGCCCATTCCTCCTGACAGAATTGGTGTAACTGAGTCAGATTTGTTGGCTGTCTTGCTCGCACAAGCTTTTTCAACTCTGCCGACAAATTTTCTATAGGATTGACATCAGGGCTTTGTGATGGCCACTCCAAAACATTCACTCTGTTGTCCTTAAGGCACATTTTAACTAATTTAGCAGTATGCTTGGGGTCATGGTCTGTTTGGAAGACCCATTTGAGGCCAAGTTTTAATTTTTAATGTCGAGATTTTGCTTCAGTATTTCTACATAATGTTCTTTCTTCATGATGCCATCTATGCTGTGAAGTGGAATGATGCTGCCGCCCACATACTACACAGTTGGGATGGTGTTTCTAGGCTTGTAAGCTTTCCCCTTTGTCTTCCAAATGTAACACTGTTCATTATGGCTAAACCGTTCAATCTTAGTTCCATCAGACCACAGGACATGTCTCCAAAATTATTATTTTTTCCAGTGTAATTTAGGGAATTGAAATCTGGCTTTTTTTGTTGAGTCTGGCTTGTTGATTTTCCCATGTTGTCACACAAGGAAGCAGTGTGTTTGAGCTTTCCCTTAAATACTATTCTACAGTTGTGCCTCCCATTAACTTAAATGTTGTCAATTAGCCAATCAGAAACTTCCAAAACCTTGACACCATCATCTGAGCTTTTCAGAGGCATAATAATCTTATTGTATGTAAACTTTACTTTTAAGACAGGTCATAACAATTTCTTTAAAAAAATCTCATTATTTTGCTATTAAGCACTATATAATTGAATTTGATCATTTTAAAATTATCTCTCTAAAAGAGAAAAAGTTTAATCACATTAACATCTGACTTTTTTTTAAATGGTTATGTGCCTTTTTATACAGTGTATGTAAACTTCTGGTTTCAAATATACATCGTCAACTTAGAATTATAAGGTTCTATCTGACATTTTTGTTGAAATTTAGTTACTGACCTATTCTTATTACATGACAATTTATTTACATTATGGGATGTTTTTTTATAAGTTGTTTACATTTTAGGACTTTTTATTTAAAAAAACAAATGTAACACATCCTGTTTGCTATATGGAACGTAAAAACTTTGATATATACATATACATGTGTGTGTGTGTTTGCTGATTAGATTACACTGGAAACTTCTGCAAGCATTCTCAGCTCTGATAGCATAGATGCATGTCATGACTCTCACTTGTCACTTTGAATAACCCCCAGTCTAAATTAATAAACCCTTAACATTCAGTGCATGCAAAAAAGTGACAAATCTCCATGCAGAAAATAACGCAACACTTGAAACAGTGATGTGAATTTTAATTACATCTCAACTAGACTATAACCGACTACAGCACTTCCAAAACAACTGGACTCATATACTGAATGATGTAACTGGGTTAGTCGTGTCACTGTTGTTGGCTTCAGGCCTGTGTGAGTGTGTGAGTGTATTTATGAGTGTTTTACCTCTGATAGTTTCTGACACATCTGTTCCTCCCAGCCGTCTTTAGGAGGCCGTTCTGGAATCAGCACCCAGTCAGCACCACACGCAAGAGCACTGACTAATGCTAGATACCTACACACACACACACACACACACACACACACACACACACACACACACACACACACACACACACACACACACTTTATTGTGGGTTTTCAATTATTATGCAAATGCATGCTTTCTTGTGGAGGATCTTACCCACAGTGTCTCCCCATAACCTCCAGCACAAAGGTCCTCTGATGGCTAAAAGATGAACAAAATGAATAAGCGCTTTATTTCTATTAGCTGATAGGTGTGTAAAATGAATGTATAATAGATGTGATATGCATATGGGTCAAAGTCAAACATCTTGTTTTGGTGTCTGCTTTATTTTTGGTATAGATAAGAGATTTTACATATAAAGGGCTGCATATTATTGGAAAAATCTGACATTGAGATAATTTGTTTCTGCAATGTAAATTGTGATATGGATACAATATCACCAGATATCTTGAATAGCTCTATTTGGAAAGAAATCCTTATTTTAGATTGATTGGTTTGATTTTTAAAGAGAAAATAAACATAGAAAGTCTGCTAATTTCTCTTTTTTCTGCTAATTTCTCTTTTTCCCATACTCCTCATCAGACAGGGAGAGGGGGTGGGACTGGACTACTGATTTCCAAAGAATGGAAATTCACTCAGAGACCGTCCCAGCCAACAATCAGCTCCTTTGAATTCCATGCAGTCTCCATTATTCACCCCTTCTACATAAATGTGGTTGTCATTTACCGCCCACCGGGTTCATTAGGTCACTTCTTAGATGAATTGGATGTTCTTCTCTCATCTTTTTCTGATTATGACACTCCCTTGTTGGTGCTAGGTGAGTTCAACATTCACATTGAAAGACCTCAAACTGCTGACTTCCAGACTCTGCTTGCCTCTTTTGACCTCAAAAGAGCACCTACTTCTTCAACTCACAAATCAGGTAATCAGCTAGACCTTATTTACATGGGACATTGTTTCGCTGATCAAATACTAGTAACTCCACTACAAATATCGGATCATTTCCTTCTGTCTCTCAACGTCCACAATACTCCTGAGCCGCCACACACTCTAACACTGGTTGCCTTTCGCAGAAACCTACGCTCTCTTTCACCCAATAGACTATCCACTATTGTTTCAGACTCTCTTCCTCCATCTTGAAAACTCTCTGCACTTGATACGAACAGTGCCACTGATACACTCTGCTCCACACTAGCATCATGTCTAGACAGACTATGTCCTCTTACATCCAGGCCAGCTCGTACCAGTCCACCTACACCCTGGGTCTCAGATGTTCTCTGTGAGCATCGCTCAAAACTTCGGGCTGCAGAGAGAATTTGGCGAAAAACGAAAAATCCTGAACAGCTCATAAGATACCAAACTCTTCTTAAAGGGCCATGACACCCCCCACTTTCGGTTAAAGTCTACTTCAGATTTTTTTCAAAAGATGCATGATTAATGGGCGTGGAGCTCCGCGAGCATCGGGCAGGAGTGGGCGTAGCCAGCAGGGGAGAACGTGAGCGAACAACTGTTGTTGTCAGTTAAGTCACAAAATGAGACACAAACCGTGAGGAGACGCATGAGTTTATAGTTTACAAAGTTAAAATGCAAAGAAATGAACAGTGATTTAATGCCTTGCTACATTTGTTATTCGTAATTTCATATTCAGACAACAACAATTTATATCATTATAAAGATCTGTGTTCATGTAAACACTATAAATGAGGACTTCTCCTTCAATCCCCGTATCCAGCAGACTCAGTGCAGCAGGTCTCCTGACCTGACTATTTTAACCATTAACCCTGCTGGTAATCTGGAGGATTTAGGCAAACACAGCAGCACGGCGATGTGTCTGAATGTGAATGAACTCCTGATAAAAGACAGCGTCCGCCATTCTCAAATTCTCGTGCTGCTCTCCCGACAAAAATGCTAGCAGCACGCACACAGCTTTGCTGTATGATCGGCCCTGACAAGATCGCGGGGGAAAACATGCAACAAACCCCGTGGATGATGGAAACAAACGCATATGAACCTTCATGAACGGTTAAATACTGTGCCATGGTTTCCGTGTCTCTCAGCTCGGGCTTGACACTGGCAGGTCTGGCAGGTCTCATGAATAATTAAGCAGCCGGCTCTTCTCATAGGATAAGAAAACTCCGCTATGAATAATAATAAGAAACCGACGCGTCATCATTGCACTTGCAGTACTGCACTACGTCGCCGATTTTGACCCCGCCCCAAAAATCATTTTAAACCCAGAAGCTGAAATTAGCTGACAAAAGCTCAAAATTATCCAGTTTTCCCCACAATTAAAGCTGACAGGTGCTAACATTGTCTTATCTGATGCTCAACACACACAAATCTGTTAATGTAAAAAAAAAAGTTCTCCAGTGTGTCCTGAACTTTTAAGTCTTCTTTCTCGGCTGAGGTTACTTCTGCTAAGCAGACATACTTCCGTCAGAAAATCAACAATGCCACCAATCCTCGCCTACTTTTTAAAACATTTTCCTCCCTCCTCTATCCTGCTCCTCCACCCGCATCCTCCACACTTACTACTGATGACTTTGCTACATTCTTTTGCACCAAAACTACACAAATCAGTGCTCAATTTGCTGCACCTACAACAAACACGCAAGTTACACCACCAACACCACACACACTCACCTCTTTTTCTCAGCTCTCTGAGTCTGAGGTGTCCAAACTCGTGCTATCTAGCCATGCAACCACCTATCCACTTGATCCCATTCCCTCTCATCTCTTGCAAGCCATCTCTCCTGCAGTCATACCAACACTGACTCACATAATTAACACATCTCTTGACTCTGGTTTATTCCCCACTTCATTTAAGCAGGCTAGGGTAACCCCACTGCTAAAGAAACCCAACCTGGACCAAATGCTACTTGAAAACTACAGACCGGTATCCCTGCTTCCATTCATGGCCAAGATTCTGGAGAATGTAATGTTCAATCAAGTCCTGTACTTCCAACAACCTCATGAACAACAAGCAATCTGGCTTTACGAAAAGGCCACTCAACTGAGAATAAATAAAAATAAAAAAAATTCTTACATTACTCATGCTTTCCTTCTTAGACTTTACAGACCTAAAACTTGCCTACAGCACTTCTTCATTGTTGCTCTTATAGTTGTATAAATTGCTTCCTTGTCCTCATTTGTAAGTCGCTTTGGATAAAAGCATCTGCTAAATGACAATGTAAATTTAAATTTAAACAAACAGTGCTTTATGGTTTTCCAGAAGGTCAAACAGTATTCAGGTACAGAAATTGTACTTTTTTTGTGCCCAAATGTTTTAAACTCTCTTGAAATGCCTTTAAAACACATGCAAATCATAAGCTTTTAGTCTGTCATGGTTATACTTTGCAATGGCTCCACAGTTCTCATGTATTCTCAACTTTTGTGCTGATCAACTAATCCCAGCTCAACATTGCATATCCTGCGATGTGACTATTGTAGACACACACATTACAATATCGATGCTGAAATGATATATTGAACAGCACTAATATAAACCATATTAAATATGAAATGCTTAATTGCAAAATGGATTAAATGCGTTATTTTTCCTTATAATTCTACAAATAATAAACCATAATGACAACTTAATAAAACATAAAAGGCATTTGTTTTAAATCTTTTTACATTTGTTAAAAATATTTTACTATGACAGTCAAAAAAACAGCGGATGCGAATGTTATCACTCAACTGAATGGGCGTTATCAGTGGTTATCAGCTAATAGATATTGGCCAGGTAGGGGCCTTCTGTTCCTATAGGTAGGCTTAGAAGGCTGTTATCATTCATCCAAATGGTTAATCAACTATAGGTCACATACGGCTGCGGCCGGAAGATAACAAGAATTATTTATATTATTTATTAAATTTCCCTTTAATTGTATTCTATTAACGTCTACCCCAACCCTAAACCCAACCGTCACAGTAATGTAAAACAGATCTGAATCTGGAGTCTTCTCTATTAGTATAGCTGATTAACCATGAGAATTGCTTATATTATTTATTAAATTCATTCATTTTCTTATCGGCTTAGTCCCTTTATAAATCCTGGGTCTCCACAGCGGAATCAACCGCCAACTTATCTAGCACATGTTTTATGCACCGGATGCCCTTTCACCTGCAACCCAACACTGGGAAACACCCATACACTCTTGCATTCACATCACACACATACACTATGGCCACTTTAGCTTACCCACTTCACCAATAGCACATGTCTTTAGGGGAAACCGGAGCACCTGGAGGAAACCCACACCAACACGGGGAGAACGTGCAAACTTCACACAGAAATGCCAACTGACCCAGCCGAGGCTCAAACCAGCGACCTTTCTGCTGTGAGGTGAGTGTGCTACCCACCGCGCCACCATGACGCTCTTATTTATTTAATTTCCCATTAATTGTCTTTTAGTAACATCTACTCTTACCCCAACCCTAAACCAAGCCGTCACAGTAATGCAAAAACCGACCTGGAGTATCTCTATTAGTGTAGCTGATTAACCATCAGAATTATTTTTATATTATTTATTACATTTACCATTTATTGTAGTTTATTAATGTCTATCCTCACCCCAACCCTAAACCCAACCGTCACAGTAATGTAAAAAAGTCTTATCTAAAAGCATAGCTGATTAACCATGTGAATGAATGATAATAGCCTTCTAAGCCTACCAGTAGGTGCAAAAGGCCCCTACTGACCCATATCTATCAGCTGATAACCACTGATAATGCCCACTTGATCAAGTGATAACATTCGAAGAGTGCTAAAGAAAAAAACACGGAAAGTCATACTAAGGCTTTATTAAGGCTACTTAATTTACAACTTTTGAGTTAGTACTGGTTCCATTAGACAAGGGGTTTAAGTAAAAAGTTAATTAATATAAATACTCATTTAGTCCATAGCTGTGAATCCATATTTTATCTTTGACCCATTAACATTTACCCAAAACAGCTTAAATTTCAATCAAACTTAAAATCCATTCATGGAAAACAAATCCATGATCTAGTTGATGTTACAGAAAAGTAAGCTCAGTTCTTTGCTAAAAAATTGGTAAAGTTTTGAACTGTGTAGTTTAGTGTTTGTTTGTTATCATATACCTCTGCGCTGTGGTCATAATAGCGTCCACCACCTCTATGATCCTGTGCAGTGCTGAGTCAGTGCCAATGGTCATATCTGTCCCACAGAAATCATTATCTATAGAGCCCACCATCCCGACGATATGCAGGGCAGAATGAGTTTGGGCAGCATCCTCGCTGATCTGACCTAAAAATAAAAAAACATTATTAAAAATCGTAACCTACTCTATGCACCTTTTTCCACATGTGATGACTGCATTTCAAACTATGGATTACAATTCTGGTTTGGGGAAATGATATTTAAAAGAACTGAAACAAATAATTTAAAGAAAAAAAAGGTTGCATACATAATCCATAAACACGTGAGTAAAACTGAACGGGATATGAGCTGATGAACTTTCAGGGTTTCTGCAGGTTTCAACATGTCAAATTTAGACTTTTAAGACCATTAAGACTTCTAAAGGGTTAAAGATTAAGGATCTTTTTCAAATCGCCCAGTATTATCATTAAGGAATTGTGTAATTGTTTTTAACTTAAAGAGAACTTAATTTGGGGAATTTGCTGTAAAAATGTCTAACAGCTGTTGTGAATTGTATCTCTTTGCATAAAAAAAACCTAAATATAAAAAAATAGGGTTTTATTGAGATGCACTGTTGGTCACTGAATGGATGTCAACCCAGTTGTGTAGCTTTACTTGGATAAAGTAAAAATAAGACCTGTTTAAAATGATATAAGACCTACAACATAATATTTCAGTAAATTTAGTTCTTTAAATTTGGGACATTTTAAGACTTTTTAGGACCCAGCAGACACCCTGACTTTGCCCTTCATAAAATGACATTACACTCAGTGTTTTAACATGACATTAGAGCAATTTCAGCTTTATGGATGTGACATTTGCAGTAATATTTCACAACCATACTTCGCACAGAAAGAATGTTAACATTATATTGATTATGGATGTGACATTTTTCCATTTTCTTCATTCTAATAACTCGCCTTTTAATATTCGATGGATGACCTGTGAGGAGAATTTCGATAGCACGTTTTTAAAAAGCATTTCCAAGACTAGGGGTGTCAAACTGATCCGCAGCCTTGCACAGTTTAGTTCCAACTCTGCTTCAACACACTTACCTGTAGGTTTCAAACAAGCATAAAGGACTCAATTAGTTTGATCAGGTGTGTTTAATTAAGCTCGGAGCTAAACTGTGCAGAGCTGAGGCCCTCCAGGAACTGAAATAGATGGCTTATAGCAGAAATGAATCCTATAATACATGCAAAGCATCATAAACACATGGAAAAGCCCCTCCCACTATCCTACCTGATTGGACAAGCTCATCCAGCAGTCCGCTCCACTCCTCCCTGAAGAGATTAGCACCGGTCAAACTGCCGTCTCCACCAATCACACACAGGTTGGTGATACCACGTTGAACCAGGTTCAGGGCGGCACACAAACGCCCCTCGTGTGTGCGGAAATCCTTACATCGGGCACTGCCGATCACTGTGCCACCCTGCATACATACGGTAACATTAAGTAGTGGTGTAAAGTAACAAAATTACTGTAAATGAGTAGCAAAAATCAGTCCTGTGATTATTGTCCAATTAAATCGCATAGAAAGTAAATCGCATCATACTGAACTACCTCAAGAAAAGGGCGCTTTATAAAGGCAGCAAACCATCCGGAAGCACTAAAAGCGTCCAAGAAAGTGTCTAAAATCTTTACACATGATGACCAAAAGACTGTTTAGACCTCATGTCACTGATGAGAAGATGACGGATGTTTACTGTGTGATGACTGAATTGGCCTTAAACAATATCTAAATGCACTACAGAATGTTACGTTAACACATCCTTGGAAAAATTGCATGTAAACGCATCAGCCTTTCACAGTGTAAAACTCACTACCCAATACTCTTGTGTCCCTTTAACAGAGCTACTTTGTAATCATAATTTGAGTAATGTTTACAACAGATACTTTTACTCTACTTTACTACATTTTTGGACAAGTACTAGTCTTTTTACTTGAGTATGATTTTTAGACACTCTTTCCACCACTAACATTAGGAAAACAATAAATAGTGTTGAATGCATCGAGCCTGAATTATGGGATAACTTTTTGATAACACTTTAAAATAATTGTCCATTACATAGAGCTCTAATTTAATGATCTAGGCGCAAAGTCTAAAGCGGATGGAAAAATACGCTCTGCGGCCTGGTGCATGGTCTAACAGGGCTGTGCCTATACTCTTTATGAGTTATGGGTGTGTTTTGAACAAAATGTGCATTAAGCCAATCAGAGTCTTATCTCCCATTCCCTTTAAGAGTCAGTTGCGTTGTGTCATGGTGCATTTGCTATTTACATGGCGGACTTTGTAAGAGGAAAAACTAAACGCTTCACTAAGAGAAAACAGTTAAACAGACCATCTGCAGCGTGAGGATAAATAGCGAGCCTCCTACATTCAGCCTCTTTACTTTCTTTTTACTTTTACTCTTTACTTTACTCCTTTAGTTTTGTGGATAAGGAAACTGTGTTGTACGCATTCCACTAAATCCATCAGCCTAGATATTTAATTTAGCTTTTTAAGCGCAAAGATTTGTTTCAAACTATTTCTAAATTCAGTTCTAATTTCCAGCAAATTAATAAATGAATAATAATAATGAAGTGTGGTCAAAAAACTGAGTTATATCCAAACACGCGTCCTATTCTTATGCCCCATATGAGGATGCATATATCTCCCAAACCTGACAGGCGGACAGACCTAAACTAGTTTTTATTAAAACAAATATAAATATGCATATAATAAATAATGCTGCAAATAATAACAACATTATACAACTGCAAATTGTCATGAATAAACTGGAAAAAATAACAACATGAAGAAGGCATGATGTTTTTTATATTTATGTAGAAAATAATAATTTTTGTAACATTTTAGTCCCTTATTTTTTTCATATGTAAAGATATTTGTGCATTGTACATCCTGCATAGGCTCATAACTAACATGGACTTTAGACCAGCTTTTTACTTGGTCAATGGCACGGTCTATTTTAGTTTCTCAAAATAGCAACGTGCCAACAATGCGCCTTAACACACCTCCTTTCTAAACCGGAACACCCATGAGTCCACAAAACGACGCAAATGGATTTGTTATTTACACAACGTGGCGGAAAACGTGACGATTAGGGTTGTGCTAGTCTGAAAATTGCAATAAATCACACCAAACACATCTTGCGCCTTATTGTACAGGGTGTATGATAGGCCCCCATAATGTTAGTTAAGGTATTTATTAACATTAACTGATAACTAAGTATGAATAATCTTGTAAAGAACTTATTTATCATAGTTCAAAATTAACTAATGCATTATTAAAATCCAAAGTCGTGCTTGTTAACATATATAAATACCATACAATTGTGTTACTTATTGTTTGTTCATGTTATTAACTAATGGAGCGTTATTTTACATTGTAAGTGTCGCCTGAATTTCCACCTAAACTATATAAATAAATAAATAAAAATTGAAAACACGCGTAATATTCTGATGAAAAAATATAAGGAATAAATCAACAACATCATGGATCTAAAAAATAATAAACATGCATCAAAAATGTAAACACATTTGCAAACCTGAATTCAAAGTTTACAAATTACAAACTTAGGAGGCTTTAAAACGTTAACATTTTGCTTACCACTTGTAACATACTGGAAACACTTTCCCATGATGCCTCCTTGATGTTATCGCCTCCATCCACCATGCCCTGGTAGCCCTGACAAGACAAAAAAGATGCTTACTCCAATATAAAGACTTAATTAATTGATCCTGCAGTGTTTACCAAGGTAACCGTTATATGAGCATCTATTTTTTCTGTCACAAGCTTTAATGTGCACCCTTTGGGAACAACATAAATGGTGCTTGATATTGGATATCAATATCCTTCAGAGATTATACAGGGGTTTCAAGAAACATGATGAAGTAAAAGAAAAATCACCTCATGGATAAAATAAACCTTTGCTCCTACATAGATTCCCATTCTGACCACTGCCCTCACAGCAGCATTCATACCTGCAAGGAGAAATAAAGAGAGACTGGAGATTCAGAAATTGTGATGCAGGACACATTCATTTTAAACAGTCAACATCGCTAGCATGCGTGTGTGCGGCACGTATAGAGGAATGAATGGTGGACGCTCTGCTCACTATGCTCCCATTAATGCTGTGACCTGACAAGTTGAATCAAGCATCTGCTCCCCTGAGGTTATGTCCAGCCTAACCCATAGTGATGGCAGAGCTGCTGCCTGGAAACCGTTGCTAAGAGACATGGTGTCATCCTGGAGCATTTCTATAACCTTTCATCTGTACTGGGGCAAAGGCACATCTCACAAAAAGAAAACGAAAAAAAGGCTCCCTTACAAAATACTTTTTAAAATCCCTCTGGGAAAAAAAATGTGGAAAACAGAACTCTGGAAAATTAATATAATCTATTACAGGTTTTAAACATGCAACTGCTGGCTAACATCATGCCTAATTAATTCATGTTTTGCTGAATTGACATTTTGTATCTTGTAGTTTTGGGTTATAAACTTACAATAAGTTTATCACAGACAGACAGATATCATTCATCATTCTTTCATTTTCCTTCGGCTTAGTCTCTTATTTATCAGGGATCGCCACAGCGGAATGAACCACCAACTGTCACGGTCACACGATGAAGACAAGGATGGTTATCTCTTTTCGTCAACGTATTCAAAACAATGTGGATAGTTTAACAGGAGAGGCAGGTAAGTGATAATCATGGATGGTGAGCTGTCTTCAGAGTAGTTCACGATGTAAACAAGGATCTTCATTCAACCGTTAGAATATAAAGTCACTTCCCTTAATCACAGTATGCTCATCCACAGGTTAGGAGAAATGTCCACGGGAGAAGGGAAACATCCACGGATGAAGACAAGCACTAAAGAAGGTGAGGTAAAACCATCTGACTTTGATTCCAGCCGCTGAACAGCTGGAAATGGTGAGTCTTTATAGGGGACTGTGATTGCTGGTGCAGGTGTCTCATTAATATTCTGGTGATTGTGCACGGGTGTGGTGGGAGGTGGCTGGAGCAGGAGAGCGATGACTAGAGCTGAGGGAACGAGATGGTGAGGGAGAATGGTGATTGGAGCAGCAGGAACGTGACTAACTTATGCAGCATATCTTTTACAAAGCGGATGCCCTTGCAGCCTCAACCCAGTACTGGGAAACACCCACTCTCACATTCACACTCATACACTATGGTCAATTTAGTTTATTCAATTCACCTATAGCGCATGTCTTTGGACTGTGGGAGAAACCGAAGGACCCAGAGAAAACCCACGCCAACACGGGGAGAACAAGCAAACTCCACACAAAAATGCCAACTGGTCCAATTGGGATTTGAACCAAATGACCTTCTTGTTGTGAGGTAACAGTGCTAACCACTGAGCCACCGTGTCGCCCTAGACAGATATCAATGAGATTCATTCATTTTCTTTTCGGCTTAGTCCCTTTATTAATCAGGGGTTTTCCACAACAGAATGAACCGCCAACTTATCCAGCATATGTTTTACACAGTGGATGCCCTTGCAGCTGCAACCCATCACTGGGAAACATCCATACACTCTCATTCACACACACTATGGACAATTTGGCTTACACAATTCACCTGTACCGCATGTCTTTGGACTGTGGGGGAAACCAGAGCACCTGGAGGAAACTCACACAAACACAGGGAGAACATGCAAACTCCACACAGAAATGCCAACTGACCCAGCCGGAGCTCGAACCAGTGACCTTCTTGCTGTGAGGAGATCTTGTTACCTGCTGCTCCACCACATCGCCTTAAAAATTGTAATTTCAAACCTTTTTTTAAAGATAAAAGTTCCACTTAAAATATATATTTTAACATTCCATTTATTTACAAAAAATTAAGAATCTATAGAGAAAAAAATAGAGAGAAAGAGGATGTTTTAAGTTTCAATGCTAGGGCCCCATACCTGAAATTGCTTAGGGCCCCCAAATCACTTAGTCTGCCCCTGTCAGTGGTATTTCAGTGTGCCTTAATGCTATTCAGAGGCAGCAACAAATAAAAAAGGTTAAAAAAAAAAGCGAGGGAAAAGAACAAAAATCTTGAAACCTACTTGTTATCAAGAGGTTATCTTGATCCTAAAGTGGAACATTCTTGGAACCAAAAAACATTAACTAGTTAATTGTTTATTATAGATAGGCTAGTTAGTTCAGAAAGATTCACACGTAGCCTATTCAAGAGTAAACAAACTGTTATGATGATAATGACGATGATGATACAGACTTGACAGTTTTAACTTGAGATAATTGCAACGCAGAGCGAAAAACAACCGGCGGAAAGATGCACTTCAAAAAGAGCATACGGGCCAATGAACGAAAATGATCATCCCGCAGCATTTACCCGCTCAAGCTCGGGATGCCGTCGGGTTTTCCCACGTGATCGCTGCATCATGGAAGTCTCTCTAATACTTGCCTGCAATCACGTAGACCCGCGCACGCATTCTTCAGCATGACATACATTCATCACGACTCATAGCAAAGCTTATCAAGAGACAAGCGTACAAAGATGGACAGGTGAGGAAAATGAATGAAAACTCTCTCTTTAATAGCATAATTCATAATTCTGATCTCTGTTTAAATTCATAGACAAAATAAAACGTGTGGCTTAGCGTAATGCTGCGTCATGTGCTAATTGCATAAATATTTAATAACATTTGTTTTGGAAGTAGCAGTCAGCTCGAGCGTTGTCATGACGATAGAGATGGAACTTTCATTTCCTCCGGTTATCTGTAAACAAACTTACCCATTCAATAATGACTGGTGTGTCAGTTTAACCAATTGATAAACCTCATATATAATTTATTTTGTAACTAAAACGCATGTCCGAGTAGCTACAAAACTGTAATTTGAGCCTCAGTTTAAAAAGCCCGGAACTGCCTCGCCTTCTATCAACTGTTGCACTTGTTTCGCTTTAGATATATAACAACAACAGGTAAATCTGCCAAACAAACAGCTTTGACCTCATATAATCGCTTTGTTGTTGTTAATAAAACAAAAAATTATCATTTACCTTGAGCATCTCCTCCGCTCGTCAGGACGCCGATGCACTTCCCCGCTCCAGAGAGATTCTCGATGTATTTTTTAGTGTCCGGCATTTTCGTACAGATGACTCTGCAAGCGGTGTGAAAGCCTGCGTAAAGTAAGAGCAATCCAAAGCAAGCTGGAGAGGATAAAAGGCTCCTCCGATCAACTTCTGCTCCGGTGTCTCCGGTGCTGCGTCGGGTAGGCTCGCGTCCTCCGCCCCACACTGGATTGACAGCAGCGTCAGGCAATAGTGCCGCGGATCACGTCTCATCTGGGCAAATTTAAACCAATTGCATTGCGATGTCGGGATTAAACAAGTGACAAGGAAGTCCTTCTTTGCTTTCATCAAGTTTAGAGCGATTATAGTATGATTTGCATACTATAGGTCCAGCCCACTCTGAATATGACAGTGCTACAGGATGATGCATCTGGAACAGATCCAGTTAGGAATTTATTAAGGAAGTAGTTTGTTTGTAGTCAACCAAATCAAAGACAGAATAGGCTAGTAATTCAATCTATCGAAACCTACATGGCAACCTTAATCCATGTACAAAAGGTGAGCTTTGGTGGCTGTGAGCCTGTGTCACCACACAGTGTGATTCCTCTTGAAGACACTCTGACACACTGAACTTGTATACAAGCTTGATATTTCAGTGTGTTTTTGGAAGAGTGAGAAACAAATTCTTTGTCGATAGAGACAGACAAACAGGTTTTTAAAGACTTAGGGCAAGAAAAAAGTTACCACATCATGCTAACAGTTACATACTTTGTAAAAATTTACATATTACTCAATATTTTACCTTTTTTTTCCTTTCTTTCTTTTCTTTCTTTCTTTCTTTCTTTCTTTCTTTCAGGTATCAACACATTTCTAGTCTAATTTTTAAATAGGGATCAGTTAAGCATTCTGGTAGGTGCTTAATATGATGTAACTTTCCACTATCTGAACCCAGGCTCATTCTGAAAACATATTGCTATATATTTTTCTAGAGAGCACCAAATACATCCCAGGGTTTTGTTTTTGTTTTGTTTTGTTTTTTTTTTTTGCAGTTTTTGTTTTCACAAATTCACCAGAGGCCGCTGTGTAGGCTTTTTGAGACCTCAAATTTCTCTTGCGAGTGCCATTCGCGTCTGCTCTTCTTGCGTAAATCCACCAGAGGCCGCTGTTAACTGACTGACTGACTGAAGCCGCCTTTCCACTGCACACAACATTTGGACACATGTGGAATACGCCCCCTTGCGGCAGTCGCACAGTATATTCAGTGTTGTCGTGCACCATGGGAGAGAAGCTGATTGTCAGTGTCCGAAATAAAGGAGTGCAAAAGCAAGAGCCATTATTCTCTTTGCGTTTACATGGTTTAATGAATGAATGAATAGTAGAAACTCATAGACTGCTAAAATATTGGAGGGAATGTGGAAACAACATTAAAATATATATTCTTATTACTTTCTTACTTACATTTATGAACAGAAATGTTTTTTTTTGTTATATTTATAGACTTTTTATAATTCAAAAAATAACCAAATAAACTCTATTTCTCATCTCGTGCGCACAGAACTGCTTGTACAACACTAAAGTACATCACATCCGGTCAGTCGTATATGTTCTAGTCGCAGGAGTTCAAATATTTCATCATATTTATATCTGCATATGGAGATGATCAGAACTCTACGCAGCTCCCGGACTGCTCTCCATTGGAAATGAATGACTTCCGGTCTGTCGCTTGTCGTTAGTCGTGTGCAGTGGAAAGGAGGCTTGACTGACTAATCGACTGACCAACCCTCCTCCTTCCCTAAACCCAACCAATAGTGTTTTTGTTGCAACGATTGTTTTTAAAGCACAGATTGACCCGCCAACCAGGGGGGGATTAGCCATCTGGCAATTCTGGCAAATGCCAGAAGGGCCGGACCATTTTTTAAATCTGTTTCCCAGAGATGGGTTGCGGCTGCAAGGGTATCCGCGGTGTAAAAATGTGCTGGATAAGTTAGCGGTTCATTCCGCTGTGGCGACCCCAGATTATTAAAGGGACTAAGCCGACAAGAAAATGAATGAATGAATGAATATAGTCTGTTGCATTTAAAGAAGGTTGCACAACAGTGACATTACAACATGTGGTTCTTCAGGAAACAGGTTAAGCAACTATTTTATTACTCAACTTTTACAACCATTTAATCAAATGTTGGAAGCATGTAACTTTATAGTCACAGTTTCATTCAGACATAAAAACTAAAAATAAATACTGATCATTTAAATTATTATTGTACTGTTTATAAGGATATCAGGATCAAATAAACTTATTTAGTAGCTTTATGAATTTAACTGTACATCAGTGCAATGCAGAATGAGTTTAAATGACAATAAAAGGTCTACAAACTGTATGTAAAGAAGCTGTAGAAAGAAGAAACTCAAAGTGGATTGGAACAAGTGGAAGATGAGTAAATGATGACTGAATTCTTTCCTTAAAAACCTATATTCAACATTCAGAAACACTAGTGACCTATCACACGCAGACACACTCACAACAAGTACATTCACCGGCCACTTTATTAGGTACACCTGTCCAACTGCTTGTTAAGCGCAAATTTCCTATCAGCCAATCACTTCACAGCAGCTCAATGCATTTAGGCATGTAGACATGATCAAGACGATCTGCTGCAGTTCAAACCGAGCATCAGAATAGGGAATAAAGGTGATTTAAGTGACTTGGAATGTCTCATGGTTGTTGGTGCCAGACGGGCTGGTCTGAGTATTTCAGAAACTGCTGATCTACTGAGATTTTCACGCACAACCATCTCTAGGGTTTACAGAGAATGGTCTGGAAAAGAGAACATATCAGTGAGAGGCAGTTCTGTGGGTGCAAGAGTTCAGAGGAGCATGGCCAGACTGTTTTAAGCTGAAACAAAGGCAACAGTAACTCAAATAAGCACATGTTATAACCGAGGTATACAGAAGATCGTCAAACACAACACGTCCAACATTGAGGCAGATGGGCTACAGCAGCAGCAGACCACGCTGAGTGACACTCCTATCAGCTAAGAACAGGAAACTGCGGCTACAAGCACAGGTTCACCAAAATCGTGATATAAGATTGAAAAAACGTTGCCAGGTCTGATGAGTCTCCATTTCGGCTGCAACATTCGGGGATGATAGGTTCAGAATTTGGCGTCAACAGCATGGATCGATCCCTCCTTGTATCAATGATTCTGATGGTGGTGGTGTAATGGTGTTGGGGATATTTTCTCGGCACACTTTGGGTGCATTAGTACAAATTGAGAATCATGTCAACGCCACAGCCTAAGGTGTACCTAATAAAGTGGCCGGTGAGTGTATGTTGTGGCATTAAATCACATCACTAGTGTCTCTTGTTCATTCAAAGCCCCTAAAATATAGAACACACTTCCTTTTTAATATCCAAAACGCACCAACTTTAGATCACTTCAAAAAGTAACCACTGAGCCACCATGGCGCCTGATTATTATTATGTTTATTGTCATTCTTTCGGTGAGCTCAGTGAGCGAGTTCACCCAAAAAAGAAAATTCTGTGATCTATTACTCATCCCCCACTTGTTCCAAACCGGTTTGAATTTCGTTCTTCTATGTTCCTCTGAACACAAAAGAAGATATTTTGTAGAATGTTGGAAACCTGATACCCTTCACTTGCGTAGTACTTGTTTTTCTATCTGTGGATGTCAGTGAATGGTTACAGGATTCCAACTTTCTTTAAAAAACCTTCTTTTGTGTTTAACAGAAGACTAAAAAAGATATTTGAGAATGAGTAAATAATGAGCTAATTAAAATTTTAGGGTCCACTTCGCAAGGCACTTTTGGTCAGTTAAAACAAAATATGAAGCAGTAAGAGAAACATTCAAAATGTGCAGAGCGGGAAGGTCTTAAAGACCAGGATTGAAAACCACCATCTTTCTTTAAAAAAAAACAATAAACATGTTTTGATAAACATCGCATGCCTAATATTAGAATCTAGGGGCCTCAGTGACCTTGAACTGCATGCGTGCAAGAATCCTGGTATTCAGCGTCCTTTGACAGTCTTAGGACCCACGACCTGATGCTCTTTTAGAGGCCCCGGCAGTCTGAGCCCTCTGTCCCAGTCTATTAGTCGGTCTAGTCATAAAGCAAATCTTCATACAAGAGAACTGAGCATTAGGGGTGAGAGTGTGTCTGTGTTTTATCCTTATCTGGCCTACCTCTGCCTAAGGGCGGGACGTCTATCTAAAACACAGGCCTGAGCAGCACACAATGCACTGAGATAAAGAGAGCTAGTGCTACATGATGTGTGTGACAGTCGCTGTAGGCCAGGACAGCGGTAAGTATTGCACATGGTCTGACAACTTCTCACATATATTAAAAAAACTAAAACATTTGCTGTTTGTTTAGACTACTTATTGAAAATGAGCTGAAACAACACAATTCTTAAGTTTTTTTGTGCTCAATCCATGCATTTTTTTACAGTGTATAATCATCAGATTTTATTTATCATTATTCAATAATAAATTTAGCCTCTTTCAAGAGTTCACACTTAGCTGATGATTAATATAAGCTTGTTTGGCATGCTGTCCCGGGAGAGAGCCCTGAGCTCATGAGATCCTCGAGCCCAGGGCTCCCTCCCGTTGCAAAGCGGGAGGGGAGTTTGAGCTCAGGTAGATCTCGAGAACTCCCCCGCTGTAGCAAGTGAATGCTCTTGAAACTAATTACTAACTAGGAGCGTGTCTATGTTGACAATTTGGCTTGTTCAATTGACTTAATTGCATGTTTTTAGGCGGTGGGAGGAAACCGGGGAACCCGGGGGAAACCCACGTGAGCACGGGGAGAAGTGCAAAACTCCGCACAGAAATGTCTGCTAGTTTTGGTAAAGCCAGGAACCAGAGACATTCTTGCTGTGAGGCGACAGTGCTAGGCACTGGGCCACCGTGTCACCCGTCTAAGAAGGAGGCGTAGGGGAGGAAGGGGGGACTCTTCAAAACGAAGATAGCAATGGAATAAACCCCAGGGTATTTATAGTAGTTTAGGAGTCATCTGATTGGATCGTAGTGAATTGGATAATGCGGGTCAGCTGCTAGCAATCATAAGCACGTGATCCTCTCGAAATTTGTTTATACATAAACTTCACTTAAAACCATCATACACAATTCACAAACTTGGTAGATGTAACTAGCTGCTTAAAATATTAGCATAATCTGTAAATTTTGCATCATCA